AGACTATAGCCCATCTGTTGAGGCAGAGAACGGATTTAGCAAGACAAGCGTGGGAGCTGAGCAAGTAAAATCTCAGTCATCCTAGCAATTACCCTACTTACTTTGCACTTCCCATGAGCAGCTGGCTGGTCTGTTCCCTGTAACAACCAGGGATTGTGGGGTTTCTTGCTGGCAGTTGCATTTTTCCCCCTGCAGCTCAAGCAAATTCATTCTTTTCTGTACATGCCCCTGCTGCGTAGCCAGGCACATGTGCCAGGCAGTCTGCTGGGGGCTTCCCTGGAACCTTTCTCCCTGTCTTTTATTTCTTCTGGGAGACGTCTAATGAGTTTGATCTATCACCTGACCCAGGGGAGCTTTGCTAAATTCATCCAGCCCACGGTTAGGCAAAATACAGCAGTGTAACAACTTCAGCAAGGAGTCACCTATTAAGTATTCTTATTTCATGCTTTAACAGACATAACATCTATGCCATGTCTCCATTCTATATACAAGATACCTATGCACACTCATAACAGAGAGCTCCTCCTGGCAAAAGCTCACTATACTGATTAGACTACAGGTCCACTGAATACAAATAAAGCATGCAGTCAACTTGGGCAGATTCAGGATGGTAAGTACAGGACCTTAATACAATTCTGTACACATCTATAGGTATATTTTCTCTGCATGTGAGATTCAAAACACAAGTGTTGTAAATAGAAGTCTCCTTCCTTTATCTGCTGTAAGTGAATCTCAGCTGAGATTATGATAAAGGTATATTAAAAAGGAAAAATAAGTCACTGGTTTCTTCTGTATTGGACAGAAATAGTGAATAATGTTTGAAAGGTTAATTCATAACTACAGCTCCACTCAGTCCTATTCAGTTGTGTACTGTTCGGTGCCTCTGTCAGAGAATCACAGGCTATGAAAATCACTATATTTTAGTCATTTCTGAGGGCCAAGATAGAACAGGCATTGTTCAATTTGGAGGATTTAGTATTTTTTGGTATTTTATTATCATTGTATTAGCTTTTAGAGAACAGAAATCAAAGCTTTTATATATGTGTGTGTATATATATAAAAAGTCCACATTCCGTAAGAACATGAAGTTTCCCAAACAGATCTTTACTTTTTTCTACAGCTTTTTTTTTTTCCCTCACTAGCATCAAGCAGGATTTTAACTTTATGGCTAATGTAGCAACTTTGATAGACCTATTCAAATAGATTTCAAGTCAGATAAACTCAAAGACCAAAGGAATCATAATAGTAACTTCACCTAGCTTCCAGCATGATTCCAGCCACAGTATTATCTATACCATTTCCTGCACTGAACCCAAAACCTCACTTCCTATCTTGATTTCAAGTGATGAGAAATCCATAGCTATTTATGTGATAAACCTAGATATCACCATGCAGCAGTCTAGGGAGATAATTTCTTTTATCCAGATATTCTAATCTTTATCGGTGGAGCTCTGGCTGTAATAATTCACAAAAGATAATGACTGCAACTCAACTTTCACTTTCCAGTAATTAAAATCTAGTCCTCATATTATATATATTACAAGTTCTCTTCTGTCCTGCTGATGTGAGAGTGGTTATTTTTAACTACAATAACTCATTATCAAGCAATCAGGGTGATCTACTTTGTTTGGCAAGGGATACATCAGCCTTCTTTGCTGGCTACTTGCCACGGTAATACTATTTCCAACATGCAACTTTCACTTTCAGGAAGGCTGTAAGAGGAATAAAGCCTGCATCTCACATTTTACAGCTAGAAATCCTCAATCCAGATCTTATCTCTCTACTCCTGATGGTAGGGATGGGATGTGGACAGGGCTGGCTAATGTGAAAACTGAAGACCAGAGATTTTTCACCAAAGTGATGAGGATATCTCCATATCTTCATATATGATTTATGGTTTTCTAATTGCTACTTAACAAGGCAAAGTCATAGGCACACACAGGCACTTGAATTTCAAGCCTTTACACTTAGAACAGCATTTACTTAAAAATTGTCTCAAGGTTGTTCTTGGAATCTATCCAGAACTCTAGAAGAAACAGCTAGGAACAGTGCCTTTGACATACTTGACAGGACTCATCTATTGAGAAGTAATGTAGAGGATTTATGGGGTTCAGATCTTCTGATGTCCACGGGGGGGGGAAGAAGGGGGTGTTCTTGTCCATCGCATCAAAGACACTCTTTGTACAGGTACGAAAAGTTTGGAATAAATGTGACTCTCTGTACCTGTATAAATAAAGCTATGTTTAGACAATGACACAAGTCCATAATTGTGTTCCTCATTATCATTTTCTTAGCGGTGTTTCCCAACAACAGTTCTACTATCTTACTTAAGCAATTAATGTATTTTCTTTGACACTTGTTAGTTAAAGATTTTCTTTGTACCATTTAACATGATCCTATTCCTTTTTATTGCTGCAAGACAAAGAAAAACAAGAGTTACTTATATATCTAAGATGGCTGTTTCATACCAACTCATCACAGTCACCTGAACTTCCTTAAGCTGTGACATAAGGATTACTCCTGCATAATAGCAGCGGGCTGGTGCTGTAAGGAGACTACCATTTCCCTGCAGAAGCCAGCAGAAGCAGCTGAACCGGTTTGTGAAGGTAAAAGGTATGATAATTAGCAAGGACATTGTCATCTGAATCTGAACAGGATTCCTGCAGCTGGAAGTGGGTTTAAGTGTCAGAAGTGTCATTAATCATTGCTATGCTTTCTTGTGTGAAGTTACCCAGGTCACAACTCTGTCAGGAAACAGTTCTCCCCTCTGAGAAGTGAAGCCAAGGTGCTCCGTAAGCCTCAGCTGCAGTTACAGTTAAAGGCCAGAAACACAGGAAGTCTTCAGATGAGCTCAGATATTTTAGAATACAAGGAAGGGTGCAGTTACAGCACATGGTACAATCACCTATTTTTTGCTTGAACATTTTCTAGCTGTGACCGCACATGCATATTCTTCACTGAAAGCTAAAATATTTAACAGGCAAGTGCAATTTTTGTTTAGCATGTAAGGAAAGAAACTTGTTTACTTCTATTGCAGCAAGACCATCTTAATATGGAGGCAATAAGCCTAATATTAAAATATGAGAAGTGTTTAAGTGTCTTTGCTTGGAAGATGACCATTTTGCTGGTTTGACACACCTGTCAGAATTAAAAAAAAAAATGAAATAAACTTTACGGTATGCAGGTCCTTACATTCTCATTACCATATTGTCTGCGATAATAGTAGGGGAGGGTTTCATAAGCATGTCTGTCTTCTGCATCAAGACAATTTCCAGACACAGAGAACTCTCTTGTGAATCATACAACAGATGAGTCTTACCACAGTAATTTATTTCTTAAAAATCTAGTTTATTGCACTTGTCTCAAAGCACAAACAAAACCAAAAACCTAAATACAGAAATAAAAGTAAAAAACCCATCCTAATTTCATTAAAACTACCCTAAAAAGTAGTCTGATAGGAGCTCTTGACACCAATATTAACGACCATAGCAAGGTACAGTATTATACAGCAAACAACTAGCAAGCTCAAGCCATTACTAAGATGACTTTGAAAAATGTAATACAAAAGTGTCACTACTAAATAATGCCATTGTACTTGAGCATCTGGTGCTTGGCAGGGTGCAGAGCAGTACTCATGTCCCTTCTCCAAAGTGACTGACTCAGGAGCTGCCACAAGATACTTTTAAGCTGAATTTCAGCTTCTTTGGGGTCCTCAAGATACCAAGCTATGCTTGCATAAAACAGACTGGGTTACTTCACAAGCTGATTCCATTATAACCCACTGCCAGACAGGCTAAAAAAACCCTCTGGGGTAATCTCCATATACAGATGAGATAGCAATGAAGCAAACGTATCATCTGTAAAAGGGAAACAAATCTGTCCTCCCTGTAAGACTGAAAGATCAGACTGAGAACTGACAGCCAATATCACTAGTGCTACAAAAAAAGTGACATAACTTGGTTCTCTCTCCACCGATTCACATTCTCACCTTGTACCATGTTTGTTCCAAGTTTAGTGCAGTACACACATGAATTACTCTGAAAGAGAACAGAGGTTAAAAAGAAAACACATCCTTTTCCATATGTATTAAGTTCTCAAAACAGAAACATCCCCACTTTTCAACTCCTGGCCTTTTCTGAAGCTGGCTCTTCTACAGTATTGGTTAGCAGCTGCTTAAAACATTCTGATGATTTATAAACTCAGAACAAACACAAAATTACTCCTCCGCCTACATACTGAATTCAAGTTCTCTCACCTATAGTTCTATTGCTTAAAAAAGATGAGGTATCTTTCAAAGAAGATTTAGAGTTTAAAGAAAAATAAACTGCATGATTAACTTAGGTTACTTCCCAGTTCATCACATACCTCTGCTGCAACATCTGTTACGTATAAGACACTTCAAAATTTAGCTAACATAGCTAAAAATCAGAATATTGTTAAGTATTTTCTCACAATATCATAATTTTTAATGGGATATATAGGTAATTCTATCAATTACCATTTTTCCTTTTAATACATCTAAGTTTGGTACTCAAAACAATTTGAGTCCAAATGTTAAAGCACTGGCTGGAGGCACAAATACAGCACAACAGGAATTATGAAAGCTGCCTTGTAAATTCCTGCGTTGTAGTACAAACCCAACATGCAACTTCTTCCTATTCCAAAGTGGGACTTACCCCCCAAAATCTGTCAGCGTCCTGATGGCTGTATGAGATGGGCAAAAGTCCCCCTGATATTACGTGTAATCCAAACTTCTCCCAAAATTATGAACGAAATTTCTAGAAATGGAAGGTTAGTATAGCCTTGCAGATATTTATATGGAAATGGATCAAACTAAGTCCATTTCAACACCAATGCTGTGTAATCATGATGTTCTGAGATCTTACTAAGAAATACTTTGCCATATTTTCTTCCATGCTGCAAGGGAAAATAATTCTAAATAGTCAGAGAGCGTTCCCATCAGTTTGGAGTTCCAAGTACAAGAAGAAATTGAGAAATGCTTAATGTTTCTGCTGTAGAGAAATATTTAATGCAACAGAATTCCTTCTCAAAATAAGTACACATGTATTAGTCTGCATGCTGTTGTGAAATAGTCACTTTCATTGCTAGTAAGATTAACTTAAGAGTTATATTTCCAAAGGAGCTTCTACAGTAGTACGGTATAACAATTGCAGTATGCCACACCTAAAGAGTCTCCCAAGAGATAATGGAACAAACATCAGAACTCACAGCTTGGGGGCTATTTAACAAGTCAGTTTTTCAATACAAAAGTGCTAATATCACAGGTCCCATATGAGTGGCTTTTAGATCCAACATTCTGTACATACATTACAAAAATTCTGTCCTTCTGGTTTTTTTTCTCTGCTTCACAAGCTTGAGAGACTTCATATCACTTCCCATTCATCTTCAAAATCATCAGGGTGAAGCAGAACAGAAGTGTCATTATTTTTCGGCAAACTATGGGAATGGCTAAAGGTCTTAGTGAGGCGCTGGAGAAGAGATCCTGAAGTACTGATCGCCCACAGTTCATCTAGAGGGGTCACTGCAAAGCATAAATTATCCATCTTTTAATTAAGGTAGCAGGTTCCAATTATAAATATTAAATAAATAATATTTGGATCTATTTTCCTAATTATACCGAGAGAAGTGTTTTATTAATGTGATAAAAGCACCCTTGGTGAAACTCTCACAGTCAACAAAGCATTCGGAGTATGCAGCTCTCCCTGCATATGGTCAGCTTGAGCACCATCAGGCAGAAGTCAAAGCAGGCATCACAATGTTTTGGACTGTCATGCAGAACCAACTTGCCTGTTAAACGTGAGACATTTCCAGGAATCTTCTTCCAGTAGTCTCCTGCTGGATTCTTGTCAGTAATGCCATATCGACGAGCTACATCTCCATTTGGACAGCGTGCCCAAACGGTCCTTGTACTTATAGCCAGCTGACAAGCCTGCAAACCTAAAGATAATTGAACATGAAGAGGGAATAACCACAGGCTTTCGTATATACTAAATACACTTGCAGGAACATTTATTAAGAGCAGATGGCAAGACTAGAAACTAGGGTTTTATACATTCTTATATTAATACTAGAGAAGAACTCTCCATTATAAAAGGCACAAAGAAATACCTAGTTTTCCAGGAGGCTTTCTAAGAAAGGATTGGCAAGAAGACAATTTAGGATTACTTATTTCCTTACATTGAATTTAGGGAAGTTGAACAGAGTAGCTGCTATTCGAATTTGAGCTTCTGGCCCTGTGTAAGCAGAGTATCAGAAAGTAGGCCACTTGCAGCACATGAAGCACCGGTGTACAAAAAAGCTTTTTAATTGCAGACTTTGTACTCACTGCATCTATTGACCATAAGGATATCACACTGTGGGTACATTTTGTTATGTGGCCACAGCCACAAGCAACAACCAATTAGAAGATCTTCGTAAACATACTTTTGGAGCCTCTGCTGTATTTTACTGCCACATGGGGAATAATCCAGCAGTTATAACTTTGGCTTGTCTAAAAATGGTTTTAACATTATAGACATTGTGGACTTTTTTTTTCCCTCTTCACAAGAAAGCAAGTACTCCACAACTAAGTGCCTTGTATTTATGCAGTGAAAAATCTTGAAAAACCAGACAGCATCAATACACAGTTATTTAGAAAGACACAACTAAAATTTAGTTTTATTTACAGGCAAGGCAAAAATGTAATTACCTAATCTAGAATGCATCCAGCACTCAGGATTAATAGAAAGATGTGCAAAATAGCATTAGGTTTTTGTTAGCCACATCTAGATAGGAACCCCATATTGTATCATGTTTAAATACAAAACTTCCCACAGCACAGTAGTCTCCTATTGCTTAGGAACACTGCTTTAGTTCTAACTGAAAGGGAACTGTACCATTTATTAATTCAGTGATAGCAGCCTGAAATAACACACAACAGAAATTAATCAAAAAAATCAGATTTCTCTTCAGTTAACTACTTAGTGTTTTTAAGTAAACCCATGGTCTTCTTTAAAAGATTACCCTTATCAAATACTTTACTATGTTTCTATAAATAAGTACACTTGATTGCTGAAAAAAATATTTTATTTAAGCATTGCTATCAATTTAAAAAGCAATGGGGGGGGAAAAAAACCCAACACAAACCCCCAAAAAACCCAGCAAAAAAACCCCAACAAAAAACCACCATTAAGGAAATGGCAGAAAGAATGAGGAACTGATGCATTAATTTTTACCTGGTACATGTTCCCAGTCAGTGCCTACAGGCATTTCATCTGTAATTCCAACTCGTACGTGGACATTCCATTTGCTATCAATTGCCCACAACATCTGATCATTTGGACTTGAATAAATGCTGACCAAGTTGATTCCTACTGGCTATAAAAATTAAGCACAGTATTTAAACTTTGTACTACTGTATCGTTATACTATTGTATCACTTGTTCTTAACAGAAGTACACAAGAAAAGTAAAATATTTACCAGATACCAAAGACAGAAAGAAATTTAACTGACATTTTATTTGTCATTGTACAAAATTACCCATTTTCCAAAAAGTCAATCCCTTCCTAAATAGAAAAGGAACATGCATGAATGTCACCCAAAGTTACAGATAAAGATATTAATATTTAATGTTCAGCATCCAAGTCTAATAATATTAATATTTGCTTAACCACTATTATTCCAATCAGGTACAGTTTCAGGTGCAAGTTGAAGAGGGAACTCTTCCACTGAAATGCACAAAGTGCAATGTTTTCCTCTTGCCTTCCTGGAAGTTTTCCTAATATAACTAAATCTGCACTTTATTTCTAAACATATACAAGCAGTACATTTTTACAGTCTGAATGTCTCCTCTTTGCAATGAAAAGGTGATCTGCCTTCTTCCCTGTACTCCATTCTACGGCAATACAACCACGGAACTCATTGCAGACCACTGCAGTTCTGCAGCAGCCACACCTGCAGGAGAGTATCCACAACACTATCTGTTAGCAAACGCAAGTTAAACACACTTTCCATTCTGCTCCCAGGCAAGTCCTTACTCTATCTGCTTCTACGCAGATTTGCCTTAACTACTGTTCAAAATTGGTGTTACTGACCCCAACATTTTACGGACGTCAAAGATGGTGATTTTGTAGCAAAAGATAACAGCCAACAGGTTTAGTGAACGCAAATATCCTGCAAAACATGTACTTTAAATAAAACGCAGATAAGAACAAGAAAAAATTTTTTTTCTCCACATCATCCTAATAAAGGCACTGAATAAGATGCCCTGAAACACATCATCACCTCACAAAAAAGCCCTGCATTTCTTTCTTTAGCCTCATAGGCATAAGCTGAATTTCCAGTGTGATAAATACAAGAGCAAGCAGCTCTTTGCATGTATAAGACTAGGAATACAGAAGCATAATCTGCACGTGTATATAAGCACACAACCCAGTCCCAGATGGGCTTTCTGTGTACATAACAGTTACCTGCTTTCGTTTTGCTTTTAAAATTCCGGTGCTAACTTGTGTCTGACCCAGCTATAACCAAGTTCGACTGGCATCACCAAATCAATCCTGTCTATTCAGGTTGCAAGGCCTTTGACAGACTATCTTCTCATGTTTGTGCTCTCATTAGGTACTTGCCCTCCGTTAGAAGCTTGAGGCTGGTAGAGGCTTGATGTTTACCTCTGGTCACAGTAAATTCACAGTCAATTCACAGGCTGCAGTTTGAACACTTACAGTAAGACACTAATTGTCTTGAAGAGTGTTGACTGCATAGAATATATAATTGCCTAGCTACTTCCAAATTAGTATTCTGCCATATTATAAATAAACTAAACTACTGTATCACAAAAAAAAAAAAACCACCACAAAAACAAACCCCCCCCAACAAAACCAAATCCAAACCCAACCAACCAACCAAAACCTAAACCAAAACAAAACCAAAACAGCCCATACAACTCTCCCCTCTGAACTTGCTGCCTCTTCACTGGAAGTTATCCTCACTCCTGGCGCTGTTCCTGTTTCTCCCCTCGATTTTTATTTGCTTCTTTCTATGGCTACTTTGGCTCTGATTCCTTCCTACTTCACCCTGTTCACCTCCCCACACCACTGTCATGGTGCCTCACTACTGTGCTGCTTCCAGCTTCATTACATCCCTCTCCATATTTCTGCTCTTGTAGTCCCATGTTTTCAAGTAAGGCAGCTGTGCAATTAATAGCTTGTCCAGACTGAATTACTGCACATAACAGGAGATCTTTTCCTTCTTTCTTTCTTTTTTTTTAAATCAACTTATCTCCTTCTCCTCGCAATATTCTTCTACCACAGTAACCTCTTCCTCAGATGTAGGACTTTCTGCCACTCTTCCCCCATCTCCTTCATACCACGAATTGCCAGTGTGTCTGTCTATGCTCCACCTCTGCAATACACTTCATGTTCCAACTGCAGTCCTTCACAAACTGTGCCAAACAGCTTGGTGTGACCCGTGTTACTGAACTGTTGGGATTTGTGCACCTTGCTCTCCACTCTTCCACATCAGGATCCCATTCCTCTCTTCCTCTGTCATTTGTCTAGAAAAGAATTCCCTGAGAAAGAACTGGAGGAATATTTTCATCTAGAAAGACTTACTGAGCACTTGCACCTAGTACCTAAGCCTGTGCATCACTACAGATTTACAGGTAGTGAAAGCTAAGAAAAGCAGACAAAACACCCCAAAGGGGTAGCATGAAAGGAGCTGCATGATGCTCAGCTAGATTGCTTCTGGTACCACCGCAGGTTCAAGTATAATCAAAGCAATGACGTGTACCCTATTCTGCAGCACCAATGTATCTAAGAAACAAGTGGAAATTATCAAGTTCAAAGTAACATCTCTACAAGCTTGGCAAAAAATTGTTCTCATTCTTTGTTTTTCTAAGTGAGCTCCTGTTTCCACCTCAAGTTTCTCTACCTCTCTGGGTATTTAACTTTTGGCTTCTCTTCCTTTTTCAGGCTACTCAGCTCCTTCTGATAAACTCGCATCAATTAAACAATCCTCCTACTCATTCTTGTGCAAAGGATCCAGGCAATACACTGATGGCAGCAACCTCCCCCTGCTCCACTGAAGCTTTCTGCTATGAAACAGACAGTAAAGGACACAACTGACAGGACATCTAGCGATATGATTCTATACAGCAGCTTTTGGCACAAAACAGTGACAAGACATTGGAAAACAAGTACAGGCAATTCTTAGAGCCTGTTGCAGAGGTTCTTCCTCTGGTTTTGCCTCTGGGTTTTGTGTTGGTATTTTTTGGTTTTGTTCATGGTTTTTTTTTTTTTACCCAGAAAGCAGCCATCTACAACAAAAAGGAGTTCTCATGGCTACCACAGTAGGGTGGATAACATTCATATAAAAAATTCTTGACATAATGTACCATTTTTTGGAACAATCATACTGACATAATCTCAGATATCCCTCATTTTCACTAAGTTTTAATTACCATAAGCATGCTTTAAGTATTTTATAATCTATATAACAAGAAACAGATCTCTACAGCTGCAGTTAAAGATGAAATAGAGTCCTCTCATAGCAGTAAAGAGAGGTATCTGTGCAAATTTATAAACCTGCTGATAACATTTCAGAGACTCATAACCATGAAAATTAATAAATTATTTCAGCATAGCCTTTTCTCAGCTGGTTTAACTTCCAATAGCATTCATGAGATTTATATACCTTGACCATGAAATATGTCATATTTGTAATTTACTGAAGAGTTTGGAATTTTAAAGAGTCTCTCACCAGTCTCTCAGCCTTCCTCCTCAGATGCTGACTCACCAAACTCTGTGTTTATACAGGTTTATCCACAATACTCATCACTGTGAGACTTGTTATGGAGCATTAATGGATTCAGTGTTATCTGATAAAAAATGGTGGAACATTGTTTTCCTTTTACTTGTGGTGCCAAAAATTTCTAAATTCAAAAAGCTCAGGACACTGACTGTCTTAGCCAAGAACAGAACACAGATCTTCCTGCCCTCTGGTCTTGTACCTCAGCTACAAAAACCCCAGTCGCTCTCTCGTCTTTTGAGGATTTCCCTCTACAACAATGGGCTGCAACACATGCCAACTACATACTTTTCAACATTTAAAACCACATTCTAAGAGCTGTGAACACTTTTATTGTTTGCTACAAATAAAAACAATGAAAAATAGTTTGCTAGTACCCACGTGTCTGATGAGAAAACAGTGCTGATAAAATGAAGTAAACTTGAAGGAAGCACTTAACCAACAAATTGTTAAACGAAATCAAGAAATTCTACCTGTGCTAAACATATTTAAGTTGTCCATTCGCTTTATAATTCTGTGCAAGTAATTTCCTTTCTTTCTGTAAACCACAGAGAAATAAGCTTCAGTGCAAGAACTTCATTTAAACAATAGTATCAAACAAAACCCAAAGTAAAAACTAATGCCATTTCCCCCTGCCACCCCCGACCTACTACTCAAAAGTTTTGTCTTATTGTAACTACTTCAGTCATGGCTGAACCCAAAACACAATGGTTCAACTTCCTTGTCAAGGAGGAAAGGACAAACACACACGCGCACACAAAAAAGGCATCAGAACATTTTCCACGTGACTTTTCAGGAGCAGAGTCCGTGTGTCAGCAGACCTCCACCATCTGTGTTCTGCTGCAAATATCCAGGATGAGGAAGACTAAACATAACATTCTCAGTCCAAGCCCAATCCTTTTTATAACAGGTTGGTGGCTACAAGCAGCACAAAAGCTGTCCTCACCTTCAAAAGACAAATCAGAAGCACCATCAGCTGGTCCAGGCCAGGCTGTAAGAAGGTCAGCTCAGAGATACTTCTCAACACTGTTGAGCATTATCTGTATATCAGACTAATCTGACTATTTTCATGGCTAACAGACATCCAGACCCCATTAACTAGTAAAACAAACAAAGAATGCAACTTAGAGAGACCCTCCCCCTCATATAGGCCTAACTATTTGCATATTATTTTCTGTGCTCCATTTGAATGAAGGTTGTAAAGCACTCTCAAGAAAGCACGAGCAACATAAGAGCAATATTGACCAGAATGTTTTGCATTCAGACTTTTGAAGAGAACAGCTTGCTAAATTAAGTGCCCTTTTTCCTCTGCAGGGAAGTTCAAGGCAATATACAAGAGCAGGAAAGATGAATCTGTGTTTAGTCTTCCTAGAAGCCACATGTTCTTCAGTAATGCTGCTGCTGAATTGTCAGAGAAAGACTCTTATTTATTGACTGAAAAACTGGAGCACTATTTTCCTCAGAAGCCTTAGAACAACAATATGACCCTTTCCCCCACTTTTCGCCTTTGGTGAATAAACAGACGAAGGCTTTAGTTGGATATCTCCAGTCTATGGCTGGCACAATCAGGAAG